ATTTTGTGTGTGTGTGTGTGTGTGTGTGTGTGTGTGTGCGCGCGCGCGCGCGCGCGCGCGCGCGCATATGAGAATATTGTGGGAACACAATAAATAAAAATAAATAAAATAATAAAAATGCGGCGAGCACGTATACTAGCTGCTATCCAATTTTGTTCCTATGTTTACTATTGCTATCAAAAAGAGATCTGTGTTCGTGACACAGCTAGGCGCTGCTTTATCGTTTTCCGATCAAATTATCTTTCCATCGATCGATTGAGAACACGCGGAAGGCGGAGAGATCTTTTCACCGCACATCCAGTCCCTTTCAACTCGTAAAAAGCCTTTCGCGAAGACGTGGATGCGCGCATTCACAGGCTTCTGGAATGCGCTCGTTACAAGAATACGGCTCGCTTCTCTCCAACAAGTGGATAAAAGCTTCTATTCATGCTTCGGGTGGTCCTACCTTAAAAACTAGGTCATATTCATTATACGCATATCGTATCGTGAACACACCGCGGTAACTCCCAAAGGCATCTGTCAAGTAGCAATCGGCGCCTTTTAGTCATCCCATTTTTACGATCACAGGCTTTTAGCTGTGGCCGCTCATTAAAGTGGTAATTATGCGATAGCTATCCGCATTAAATGCATTTTCCCGTGTATCACAGTGAAAACGTACGGATAATAAAGCTAACGTATGAATAGAATTGAATTAAGCTCACAGACGTTGTTACAAGATGTTGTCATATTAAATAAATAAAAATACGTATTTAAAAAAGACAATTTTAATTCGAATATCATTATTTTTTAACGGATTTTTTTCAAGTAAACGAATTTCTAAGTAAACATGCGTCATATAAATTATTTCACATAATTATATTTGTATTGTTTTATATCAAAGAAATTATTTTAAATTGGTTAGAGAAAAATTAATTTACATAACATATCTCTCTCTCTTTTTTGGTTTTTAATTTATACAGCTGTATAGCACAAGAAAAACGAATGTAATTTTGTTTTTAACATTATATAGATAGTATAGGATAGTATCCCAGAATTCGCGCATATGAAATACATAATGCAATTCTTTGTGCCAGATATCATGCACGGTTGTTATAAAAATCTTTAAAAAAATAATAAAACAGCGTAAAACAGCAATATATGTTCAGCGTGTAATGTCTCTGACTCATGCGTAACTTATTGTTAAAGCGCTCATTTGTTAGTTTTAAATTACTCTCATTTAAAAACAACTACTTGGATGTAATTTAGTGGAAAAGTGTTTCTTTTGACACAAAGAATCGCAATATAATGTCTTTGCGCATAAATTATATAGGTTACTCAATTACTCACATTATCAATAAATTTTCTTATTAATAAATAATAATACATATAAACTCACCTTGACCCAGCATACTTTTTTACTTTGTAAATTTTTTCACGTAGCTCTTTTTGTCGCAAGGCTACGAGACTAGCCTCGTCATTTTCTCTTTCAGCGGTACTACGTTGCAACCCAGATGCAGCCAACAAACTTGCATTTTGCTCACGTAACATTAAAGATATAATCTAGCAAAGTATGAAAATATTATTTACGAGTAACAAGTTCATGAATAATAAACAATAAGTTCTTAGTATAACAATATTTTTATAGAATTATGTTGAAATAAAATGTATAAATAAAATATAAAAATAGGGTAAATAAATATAACTAATGTGCTGTATATACCTCTAAAATTTGCATGTGGTACTGTTGTTCATTCTTGTTACTGACAATAAATAATATAATATCCACTATGCCAGATGCATGAAATGCAAATAATAGCTATAAAAAAAATTTATGTGCCACTTAAAATAATATTCGATATAACACATTTTAAGAATAAAAAAATTTGAATGTTGACATAATTCACCTCATCATGAACAGTGGCATCATTATCAGCTCTTTTATCATTGTCATTAGGTGGCACTTGCAATACATTTCTAATAAAAGCAAGAATTCTTTCAATCGTTAATTCGTTTTCTTCTTCTCTTTCTTTATTATCCTATAAAATAAAAATTATTTTAAAACTGTTACAAGATAAAATCTGTTACAAGGACATAATAATTCTCTACTTACAATGTTAAATAGAGTCCCCAAACGACCAGCTACTGCCAACCACACATTTTCATCAGTTAACGCTGCTTTATATTCTTGTAAATATGTAACAATTTGTAGATAAAAACTACGCATTGTTTTTTCAGCAGGTATCTGTTCATTATAAATTACAAACGCAGAGCTTGTCAAATTAATAAGTAATCTGTTTAAAAGAAATAACATATAGTTATGTTCTTGAATGAAGTATAGGAGTTATAATATTTCATATATTGAATGTATTCTATCGACTTGTGAGTAATAATATTCTATATGTTCAATATATTTAATTCTATTTATATACTAACACATACCGCAACAAGACATCCCAAAGTTCAATATTTTTAACATGATGTATAAGAATCTTTACAAGATCTGTCTGAAGTAATCTCGTTTGTCCAAGAAAGCGTCTTATAATATGTGTATCGTCATCTCTTTTAAGATATCTGATAAGATCCTTTATAACTTCTATTAAAAAATTGATATATTGTCAAATATTTTATCTCACTTTATATGTCATTTAAAAACAAAATCAAAGTAAATCTTTACCTAAGCAATTCTTGTCTAAATGGTAAGTAGTTTCATCATAATATCCAATTGCAGCACAAGTGGCAGTGAGTTCAGCAGAAAGATAATCTAGCATTGCCATGCTTGAGCAATATGAACTGCAAAAATTTCAGTATGTAATATTTATTTCTCAAACTTAATCAAGAGATCATATGGAGTAATTTTTATGTGTACTACAGTAACTATTAAATAACAATACACATTATTTCTTTTTTAATTTCGTTAATCTACTTTATTTTTATTTAAAATAATAATGTCTAATAAATAATTTAAAAATAGAAAAAACATATTTAAATTGACATTCTTGACATCTCTCAATGGGAAATTAAAATATAAAAGTTGCTACTAATCCTTTTTCAAATACACGGCTTCTTTAAGAATATCACTTCACAAAAAGCTGACAACAGCCAACTTTCTTTTTCCCAAAATTAACGATATAACTTTTATTCCAAACACTCAATTTAATGACGACAATAGATCCTTTATATTATATTTACCTTACGAAATATCCTTCACTGGTGACGGTGCCACATCAAATTATAGGTTATGTTGCGACGCGGAATGGATTAAGCGCGCATAAAGTAAGAACTCCGCACTTCTCGTAATGAGACATGCACTCGAAACGTCAATACAAGACTCGTCACGAAAAGTATTAAGCTGTCACTGACTTTGGTACTTATCTAAAAAAATCGAAACAATCACACGCGACACATCTCGCCAAACGCAACAGGTGAGGAAGGAGAAAAGCGCGCGAATCAAGCAGACGCCAACTTCGTTCGGTCACGTGATCGGTCGATCGCCCGCGCTCGGTAAAACTCGGCTCTTTACGCCTCAGTTCAGATCAAAGCGGTTGCGACACAGCGGCGGTTGGCTTGTAATTGGATGGCGCGACGGAGCGCCAGGTAAATTATTGAATTATTATTATTTGTTTCAGTACGTTTTTGTCCCTTATCACTTCCCAATCACTTTTCGTGATTGAACGAGACAGGCATAACGTCTGGCACGAGAAAACAGAAGTAGGAATGCACGAAAATGTAAAGAATGTATGACGCAATGGTTCAGTATCGCAAAATGGCGTGCCGGGCAACATTTCGCCCAATATTTCAGAATGACGCGCCAAAATAGTAATTATTTTAGGCTGGTATTTTTAATTTGTTTTTATTTTAAAACCATTTTAGATAATGTAAGATACTAATCTTAAAATTCTGTGTCCCAAAACTTCTTGAGACGGTCTTAAATATATAAGAATCGACTAGAAAACAGACTTTAATATCACACTGCGTTTTTACATATTTATAATTTATACATATTTATACATATTTATTCTTATCAAGAGCTAAAACGATCCTGCAGAAATATTAATAGATCTCGTACTTTCGTGATAGATGAAGATTTTCAGAAATTACATTTTCTATTTTGTGAACGTGAATAGAAAGCGAGAGCTTTTAACCAACAGGCTTTAGCGGAGAATCTTTGGATTTAGATTGTAATTATATTAGAACCGAGAACGTAATATAACGTTCAAATTTCGAAAGGATCGTTTCAAGACGAACGTAGGAAAAAAGAGAGATAACAAAACGTCCGTTATCGTATTTGTGTTTAGGATTTTTCGATTACGCTATGCTTGCAGCGCGGAAGGTCGCACGGGACGTCCATTATGTCGTCGTAATACGAAGCAGCGCTTTCAGCGAGCAATCTGCTGATAGACGTCGTCCGCAAAGGAGGAAAATAAAGCCATAAATCCAATTTTGTTGCGTAGCAGAGACGAAAAGGGATGTAACCGAGGGATGGACGGACGGACAGGCCGAGCGATTGAGCGAGGAGACCAGAGGAGACGACAGGCGAAGTCGGGTAAGTACAAGAGATACAAGAGATCGAGTATTACAGACTATAGAGTTCGAGGGACGACGGTCAGAAAATAGCGGGCTATGAAGGGAAAAGGGAGTGACACACACGAGGTGCCGACGCGTTTGATGGTCGTGGCTGCACGAACATTCAACGGTTAATCGATATCATCCTAGGTATCCGGGTCATCGGGTTATCGGCCAGTCGTCCGCACCTGTCCGCTTATTTCGTCAGCGCCGTGTCAGTGTTCTATGACAGCACGCTCTATACATTTTACGCTTTGTGACGCGCACGCGGCGGTTTTTTCGCCCGGGACGCCCGGAAAATTGCCGTCGGGCTGCTCTTTTCAAATCGATTCGCGTACACGCGCATCGCGACACACTGCGTGATTTGATTTTTTTTTCTCTCTGTCTGCTCGCAACGGCAGACTCCATTCCAAACGATATCTAATTCACACATAATATCTAATACAAGATAACTGGAACATAAGAATTGTATATAAAATGTTATGTAAAATGTTTCATCACGCAATGCGAATTTTGTATTTTAATCTGTGTACCGCGCGAGTATTAAAAAAACTAATCGATGCAATATGCAGTTATATACATATAGAGATTATTTATGTTTGGAAAATCCTGTGGTGGTTACATTATTAAATTAATTAAATCGAAAATTAACTAATAATAAAATTTGTTATTATTTATTTCTCTCTCTCTCTCTCTCTCTCTCTCTCTCTCTTTCTCTCTTTCTCGATCTTTCTGGTGAGTTGAAAAAATCCAAAAATTTACAAAATATTGAAATGGCAAGAGAATAAATATTGCGATTGATGTGACGTGATTTTATGGAATGATAATCAGCTCTCTTTGAAGTTGGAGAATACAATTGGGAATAATTGACATGTTTTGCGGTTCGTTGTATGTAAACAGGGATGTTTGATCGCAAGCTCGTACGATTTTTGATGCGGTTATATTAACGTTCAGTAAATGCAAAAATTTTAAGTTAGATATATTTATCGCGAAAATTACGTGTGCGCCGATAGCGAACAAACCGCTTTTATACATCACGTTAATGAGTAATAACGTCTATAACATTAGTTTGTGAATGAAATACAAAATTGTGTGGTGTGGTGGTGAAGGCATTTATTGTTTATCCAAAGCATTGTTTCGACGTTAAACGCAATTGCTATTTCATCTATATAGCAAATGATTTCTCATTACAGGAAACAACAGACGTCGGATTATAAATTATTTCAATTGTATGCTCTACTAAATTTATTATGTATTGAATATACGCTCGATGCATCGAAAAAATTTTGAACTAATTTTTATCAAGGATTGTATTCCTTAGAAAATTTAATACGAATTTTTTACTTATGTAACGATTAAAAATTTAATATTTATCGATTATTTATATAACACAGATCTATTATATAATTATTATAATATTTTTATTAAACCAATATGCCAAATGGAATAAGAAATATTCAAATATATAACAATGAAGAAATAATCAATTTGAGATTATTTAGAACTGCATTTAATTAAAAATCTTTTCTTTGTGTGATAATTGTTTATATATAGTGCACCGGGATAAAGAATTTTCTTTTATGAATATTTCCAGAAAATTATTCTCGATTTTTCATGAAAAATATGTAAAACCAATGTATTATAAAAGGATGGCTTTTTCATGGGCACCACCGCGCGTAATAATAATTCGTCGCGTGTTAGCAATTGTGAAATTGTTGGTGATTTATACTACTGCCTGTATTATAAAACATGGGTACAGCTATGGTAATAATTAAATAAAATCATAAAATAAATTATATTTTCTGCAATCACGTACGTGTGCAGTGTACATATGTACTGGTTATATCGTGAGACGAAAATATCTCGTTTAATAGTTAGGAATTTCATACGTTTCCGCAATATTTTTTATTTAATAAATATTTTAATTCAGATATATTGTTTTTCAAACAAGACTAATCAGTCTTTTCTGGATGAGTAGAAGTAGTACAATTTTTCAATCTTTCTGAAAAGAGAAACAGGATGTAAAATGAAATATGTCGGCAATCTTTTCTGGGATAGAAGAATACCTCAACGTGCATGCTTCAGAATTAACGTGCACAATATACGCGAAATATAGCTTGTTTCGCCATAAATTCAATTAGAACATATTAACGGCAGAGGTTAATGCAAATTATTAAATAATTAATCAGACATCCCTATGCTCTTTAGACGCGGGCATAATAGGACGTAGCCCTATGCTACTGCTTCTAATTTATGGCGAATTCCACGGGTTACTTCGTATTTTGATACGGAAAACTGTAAGTCTGTCGAGCTCAACGAAGTTGGCAGCTAAATGTCGTGTGCATAATCTACTTGTTAACTAGTTAATTCAGTTAAGTTTTGTAAGTTCCGCCGCGCGTAAACATAACTGGCGGACGAGGCGAGTTGGAAGCGGCAAATTTAGTCAAGCCGAAATAAAGCGATTGCGTTCCGCGCTATAAATTACGATCTCGAATACTCTCTGCGATTTCCTAGAAGGCAAACTCAAGAGTTTGTTGCACGTCTTTAAAATATTTCCTGATACAATGGGTCACTCCGTGGAAATTCCAACGAAAGCGCATTTACACCGTCAACTTTCTTATGCAAGGCATGAATTATTTCTCGTTGAAATTTAATAGAAATATTACTTTACTCTTATGTTTTTACCTTTGTACAGATTTGTACAGAACAAGAGAGAGAGAGAGAGAGAGAGAGAGAGAGAGAGAGAGAGAGAGAGAGATTATATATTTATATTTTTAAAAAATACGTATATTTTAAAAAGATATAAATTGTCATTAAATTCAGTCTTTAATCCTCTAAACATTGTTTTATCATTAGAAAAAGAATGTTTTTGCTAAAAATGATATTAGTAAGTAAAGAATCTATCAATATTTACCTTAAAAGTGACAATTTAATATATAAAAATAAATAACAACGCTATTTAATACAGAATAAATAACAACAGTCTTTATTTAAACGTTATATGAAGTGCGTAATTGAAAGTAAATACAAAATAGACGTATCTATTACGTTCAGTTATTAATTTAGAAATTGTATGGCGAAAAAGTTTATTTGCTTATCAATCGATTTGAGGCTACTCGGCACTTATATCATGCTAATAGGACTTTCAATTAACGTTTTCAATTATTAATGAGACTTTTAATTAAAGAGATTTATTCGGAAATCAGCTTAA